GGGGAGCAGGAAAAAAACAGGAACAAGGACATAAGGGGCAGCAGGGGAGGCATATACTCGAATCAGTCCCCTGGATTTTCCTCCTGCAGCAGCTGTATGCTTGGGGGAGAGGAGGAGATTCTGGTTTTTGGCTGACTGCAGGAGGAAAATAAAGGGGATAGTGGGAAGACAGGTATTTTTTTTAAAAATCTGAATTCCCAGCAAGTGATTGGGATTTGGATTTTACCTGCCCCCCACCTCCACCATAAGGCTGCTTAGGCAGCTTCCTTAGTGCGCCAGGGTAGGGGTGGCAGTAAAATCCGAATCCCCAGCCACATGCTGGGAATTCAGATTTTTAAAATACCAGTCTATGGTAGGAAAGGGGGGGGGGGCCAGAGGACACTGCTATGGGGGAAAGGGGGGAAGAGGACACTACTGTGGGGAGTGATGTGAAGGGCAGTAAAGAGCACTGCTATTGGGGTGGCCCTGCCCATAGCAGTGTCCTCTGCCCCCTGCACATTACCTCCCCCCCACAGTAGTGTCATCTGCCCCCCATATCACTCACTCCTGAGATCCACAGAAGTACAGCCAAACAAACTTTGGCTGTACTTATCCTTTAAATGCCATGCAGCCATCTCTGAAGTGTATGTAGACAGGAAGTGGCTGCAAAGGGCTGAAAACGATATTTCATTAAAATATAGCCACTGTATGTTAGTGTTTTGGCAAACTAAATGTAATTCAGTAAGGGTTTACATCTTTTACATTTTGAAAATTTTGGATACAAAGATGAGCAGCATCTATCCAAGTACCTATTAATCTAGCTACAGATATCCTAAGAGAGCTACCTACCTCAACATGATCACTGGGTCTCCTTGTATCTCTATGCAATGCATTGAGATTATGGCTGGTGGGTGGGGCTGACGGGGTGCTGTACATAGTTTTCTAGTAATATCACAGTATCCTGCCTCTGTACTCTTCTCAGGAAACCTCATCCCTGATGCAAGCAGTGGGCTGCCGCTTGGGAGGAGTTATTCAAATATCAAGAGTCATTGATGGGTGGATGTCAGTCTAGAGGAGTGGGCATTGCTAGGCAGGCTATATCTGCAAACAGACCACCCTAGATAACCCCCACATGCAATACTAAGCCTCCATGAGTGTAAGAACTGAAATGCAATGAAACAGATGGGCTAGGGACAGGCAGACTGGGGAGGAAAGAACTAGATGACACTGGAGGTCCTCCAGACAGGAAATTAAGTGGGCTTTATCTGGCTTTCAGCAGCTTCTAATGCACAATATGAGAAGCTCACAGTGTGCAGGGAAATCAGCATAAGCAGTTTCAGTATAGGAGAGGATCCTGTACAACTGTGCAAGATTGAAGGCCCAATCAGGCATATTGTTGCATTATTTATTTATTTTATTTCAGGTACTTATATAGCGCCGTCAATTTACACAGCGCTTTACATATATATTATACATTCACATCAGTCCATAACCCTCAAGGGGCGTACAATCTAAGGTCCCTAACTCACATTCATACATACACATATTAGGGCCAATTTAGACAGGAGCCAATTAACCTACCAGCATGTCTTTGGAGTGTGGGAGAAAACCGGAGTACCAGCAGGAAACCCATGCAGGCACAGGGAGAACATGCAAACTCCAGGCAGGTGGTGCCGTGGTTGAGATTCGAACCAGCAACCCTAGTACTGCCAGGTGGAAGTGCTAACCATTTAGCCACTGTGCACTATATAATAGATCTGATGTAGGTTATACAAATGTTTAGTGTATGGCTAGTTTTGGTGATCACTTTCATTGCCTGACTTGCTTCCAAGAAAAAAAAAAAAAAAAACTCCCTCCTGATTGGTTGCTGTAGCTTTCCCCTCTTCCAAATGTTCATGTCATGCTCTGAGTTCCCTCATTTGACAATGCATTGGCCTCCTAACTTACGACATGGCTCGTGGAAAAGTAGCAGCAAAGTATTTTAAGTTGAGGGAACAAAAATGATTAGCCGAAACTGGATCTTCAGGCTCCGCTAAAAGCTGTTTAACATCTGTTGGCACATTCCTTTATATCTTCAAAGCAATCTCTGCAGGGTTTGTGCTCTTATGATTCTCATATGTGCTGTGTTTTATTACCTGTGTAACGAGAAGCCGAAGCCTAGTTTTCTGATGTGCTGCCCATATAGATTAGGGATGAGGCATGATGGGAAATTTCCAGGTAATTCTGGGGGGGAAATATGGCTTTCTGAAGTGTTGCATCTTCCATATGTTGCTTGGAGTAACGTTTTGCAGGGTCACCTGGCTGCACTCTTCCAGAAAACATTGTCCCTTTTTTGTTTGCAGAAATCATTAAATTTTTGGGAGATTTGCACATGAGTTACCCTTTAAGGGATAATTAAACTTTTGTGGGAGAAAAAAATAGCAAATTAAATAAATATAGGGTATACAGTGCCTTCAAAAAGTATTCATAGCCCTTGAAACCTTCCACATTTTGTCATGTTACAACCATAGTAACCAAAAGTAAATGTATTTTATGTGATAGACCAACACAAAGTGGCACATAATTGTGAAGTGGAAGGAAAATGATAAATGGGTTTTCAATTTTTTTTTTACAAATATCTGAAAAGTGTGGCGTGCATTTGTATTCAGCCCCCTTTACTCTGATACCCATAACTAAAATCTAGTGGAACCAATTGCCTTCAGAAGTCACCTAATTAGTAAATAGAGTCCACCTGTGTGTCATTTAATCTCAGTATTAATACAGCTGTTCTGTGAAGCCCTAAGAGGTTTGTTAGAGAACATTAGTGAACAAACAGCATCATGAAGGCCAAGGAACACACCAGACAGAACAGGGCTAATGTTGTGGACAAGTTTAAAGCAGGGTTAGGTTATTAAAAAAAAAATCCAAAGCTGTAAACATCTCACGTAGCACTGTTCAATCCATCATCCGAAAATGGAAAGAGAGTGGCACAACTGCAAACCTACCAAGACATGGCCGTCCACCTAAACTGACAGGCCAAGCAAGGAGAGCATTCATCAGTGAAGCAGCCAAGAGGCCCATGGTAACTCTGGAGGAGCTGCAGAGATCCACAGCTCAGGTGGGAGAATCTGTCCACAGGACAACTATTAGTCGCACACGCCACAAATTTAGCCTTTGTGGAAGTGTGGCAAGAAGAAAGCCATTGTTAAAATAAAGCCATAAGAGGTCCCATTTGCAGTTTGCGAGAAGTCATGTGGGGGACACAGCAAACATGTAAGAAGGTGCTCTGGTCAGATGAGACCAAAATTCAACCTTTTGGCCTAAAAGCAAATTGCTTATGTGTGGCAGAAAACTAACAATGCACATCACCCTGAACACACCATCCTCACCGTGAAACGTGGTGGCAGCATCATGTTGTGGGGATTGCTTTTCTTCAGCGGGGACAGGGAAGCTGGTCAGAGTTGATGGGAAGATGGATGGAACCAAATACAGGGCAATTGTAGAAGAAAACCTGTTAGAGTCTGCAAAAGACTTGAGACTGGGGAGGAGGTTCACCTTCCAGAAGGACAACAACCCTAAACATACAGCCAGAGCTACAATGGAATGGTTTAGATCAAAGCATATTCATGTGTTAGAATGGCCCAGTCAAAGTCCAGACCTAAATCCAATTGAGAATCTGTGGCAAGAAAATTGCTGTTCACAGACGCTCTCCATCTAATCTGACAGAGCTTGAGCTAGTTTGCAAAGAAGAATGGGCACAAATGTCTCTAGATGTACAAAGCTGGTAGAGACATCCCCAAAAAGACTTGCAGCTGGAATTGCATTGAAAGGTGGTTCTACAAAGTATTGACTCCGGGGGGCTGAATACAAATCACGCCACACTTTTCACATATTTATTTGTAAAAAATTTTGAAAACCATTTAGCATTTTCCTTCCACCTCCCAATTATGTGCCACTTTGTGTTGATCTATCACATAAAATCCCAATAAAATACATTTATGTTTTTGGTTGTAACATGATAAAATGTGGAACATTTCAGGGGGTGTGAATACTTTTTCAAGCCACTGTACAATTGCTTCTCAAGTTGTATTTTAATTTAATGTTCATAAAAATGACCTTTCCTTTTCAATCTGCAGTGTTGTTATTTTCTATAAAATTCAATGCAATATGGCAAGCAGGAGGCATTCTGTGCACACATGGTGTACAGAACGCCTCCTGAAAATGTAAATTTCTTGCTTGTTTAATTGGCTCACTGATTTTCCCAGAAGTCTGCACTAAGGCCGGCCATACATGGGTTGAATTCCAAAATAATTTTCTTTAGAAAATCTTTTTCAAGAATTTTCGTTCACATTTTGCACCATTAGTGGGCCACAGCAACCGCTGATTCTCTAGCGACCATCGAATTTAAGTGATCTGGCATGTTGGAAATTTTTTGAAAACGAACAAATTTCTAATCAGTGGTGAAAGAAATGTAATTCGAGAAAGAAATGAGCATGAGCTGTAACCTAGAAAGAAGAGAAAATTCTTCGCCTCAAAAATATATTTTTTGTAGCCTTTAAGGTGAAATTAAATCTTGGTTGGTCGAATTTCGAAATCAATAGTGGGACCATTGGATTACAAAATGCATGAAATTTCCAATTTTCCCAAGAAAAGTTTGTTCAGAATTCGACCCATGTATGGCCTGCATTAGTTACAAGTCAGATTTGGGTAAGATGCTCCATATGGGAAATCACATCTAAAGTGATGCAGACCCTGCCACTTTTCTCAATAGAGCCCTTGCAGGCGCAGCAAGTGAGCTTCTTCTAGATCTGTTCAGTAATCCAGTGTGAAACTTTTTTGCTTTTGTATAGGAGCATCCTGTAATAGACCAGCCACTGCTGCTCTCTCCCTTTGTGCAGGGTGACTGGTCTTGTACCCGCCCCCTCTGTCAAAATGTTATTATTGTTTAGAGCTGTCCTTTGATCCTGAGTAGCAATGTTGGCTTTTTTTTTTTGTTAGTGTAATATTTTTGTTTAATAATTTTTTTTGTGCTTCATTTGCAGAGCTACAAAGCCATTCCAGTTACCAAAAAGGTAAGCACCAATCACAAATTGATAATATCTGTCAATAGTATTGCGCTACTGTGTCCAGTGATTGAGTGGATTGGGAATCCCTTAAAGAAAACGCTGCTGCTACTGGATGCGCTGGCAGTGTTTTTTTTTTTTTGTTTTTTTTTTTTATGCTTCCTCTAAACACCCCTGTCTGCAAACTCTGCTTTGACTGCATGGACACATGGGCTAATGTGCAGTGCTGTTTAGGGGCAGAAAAGAAAAAAAAAAACAGCAGACGCCCCTAGGAGCAGCATTTAAAAATGTCCACTGTGCATGAGGCCTAACCATTAGAAAATCGAACAAACGTTGCAAAAATGAAACATTTCACATGAAACTTTATTAGCATATGGCCACCTTAAAGTGAGATTAAAGGTCTTTTCAGTTTAAATAACAAACCTATCATACTTACCTGTTCTGTGCAGTGGTTTTGCACAGAGCAGCCCCCACCGGTGCTTCTAGCCCCTCCCTCCTGCTGAGTGCCCCACAGCACGCAGTTTGCAGTGGGGGCACCCAAGCAAGCTCGCTCCTGAGCACTGCTCTGCGTATCCATCCCCAACCTCTCTCTGCTCTCATTAGCTCACTGGTTGTGATTGACAGCAGCAGGAACCAATGGCTACCGCTGTTGTCTCAGCCAGTGAGGAGGCAGAGTCCCCAGAGAGCCTTGTGCACATCTCTGGATCCTGATGGGGCTCAGGTAAGTTTTATGGGTGGGGGGAGCATAGAATGCATGAAGGTAAAAAACAGAGTATTTACATCCACTTTAATACCATGCTGCTGCTGTGTGATTTTCTCCAGAACAAACAGTCTTGTCTCCCTCTTACAGTAAGTTATGTTGGGAAGGGGGGGGGGGAGGTGGGGCGCTCAGAAAATCACATATGTTATTTTTGTCTATAGTTCCTCTTTCATCTTGACTGGAAACAGTCAGGGCCCCATGTACTACCTGGACTTAGGATCCAACGGAGCCTAAAATGAACACGGGGATGAGTTTATAGACTAAATTGTGTATTTGCCAGCACCACAAAGTTGCAATACCTTGGAAATGTTTTAGGCCAGGTCAGTCAGGTTCACTTTAAGTGAGTTCTTTGGCATTCAGAAGATTTTTCTGTCTCGGCTCACACTGCGGAGGATGACAGAATGATGATGTTGCTGAATTTTGGCTGCCAAGTCTCAGCAGAAGGCGCTGAACACTCTAGAAATAGACAAATCTCTTCATAAAGGTCACAGAGTTTTGGAAAAATAATCAGTCCCTCACCTAAAATACCCTTTCTTTTAACTCTCGTACATATTGGACCTCATTCATTGATGCGTCAGAGTAGACTACTCTCTTTGTTGCCTTTGGATACCCTTCAAATTATTGGTATGTTTTCCAGATTCATAAATATTGCTTGGCCACTACAAGCGACACCAAGTTCTTCCATGGTTGTGAGTTTTGCTGTTTTAAATATTAGAGTGAAAGATGTGGAATGTTTTCTACAGGAAAGTAGGTTCTGTTGAACTTGGAGTGCCAAAAAAATGTCATCTTCTGTTCTGCTCCTAGTAGGCCACAGGGGAGCAGGTTTTATAGGGGATACCAGACTTCTGTTTTGTCTGGATACAGACTCCAGTATGTCCTTGGGGATCCCAAGGTGTTTCAAGGCCATGTAATCCTTTCTGCTCATTCCGGGTTCTCCTCCTTCCACCTGGACTTTCTGGGCACTACTCCAATGGGATCATTCCAAGAGGAATTATATTAAATGGTTTAAAGTATGTCGGGCCCAGCAAGGAATAGCAGGTGCAAGGCACTCCTGGAGTGCTTCATTGATTCTGTTGCAGAAAATAAACCTGACCACAGTTCATTCATATATATATATATATATATATATATATATATATATATATATATATATATACAGTATTTATATAGTGCCAAAGGGTATGCTCAGCGCTGTACAGTAGCAAGGGGGACAGAACATGAGACAAGACAGTAACAGTACAATACACGAGGGGTTCGAGGACCCTGCTCTTTCGAGCTTGCATATCAATATCAGAATCTCACAAACTAACCAGCAAGCAATTTGCTATGTGCTGGAAAAAGTAATATAGACTTGAAAGTTCTTATTTTGAGCATGCAAGTCTGAATAGCAGGATGAGGGCTTGGTTCCCTAATGTTGAGGGTGACTTGTTTTAATTTAAAAGTTCATGTTCTTTTTCAAGTGTTGCTTTATGCAAAAGACATACCTCCTGGGACCCAGACAGTGCTAACAATATGGCAACCTGCTGAATCAGAATGATCCACAGACAGCGTCAACTCATTAAGAAAAGTTTAATTCAATATTGTTTAAGGCTGGCAAGTTACAATCGATCAAAGGCCTTCTGACTCTTAAGCAGTCCCTCTAGATATAGAGTTTAAAAGCAAAAGCCAACACTAGAGAGCATGGGAAGGCTGGAAATGTCGTACTAAAAACTGGACTAACTTGTAGCAGTTTAGGGGAGCAGGGTAAATGCCTATGCACAAACCTAAAAAATCCGAGCTGCTGTGGCAGTGTAACCTGTAAAGAGATGAGTTGAGCTTGCTCATTTGGAAAATTGATGGCAAGCACAGCCAGTTGCTAACTGGTATCTGTAGGCACTGTTTGAGCTGGCCGTGCATGGAACGTTCTGATTTTTGCAGTCTTCTCTATATCTACCGCAGTTATGAGCCTGTATAATTGAAAAGAGATGAAATGACTTGTTTAGGTAGGTTCTCGTATTACAGTAATTGGTAAAACTAAAGGCAGTTGTACAGTGACCGTATAATCAGATTGGAAGGCGTATGGCCACCTTTGTGAATTCATCATTTTGCAGTTTTGTGAGGCTGGATAAATATTAATGATGATTGGTTTTAAGTGTCATTTGACAACCGTATTTTGAGATAAAGCTTTTCATCCTAACTGACTTTTAATTTTCTCCTAGTTATGCTGCATTAATAGCAGACTGGCCTGTGGTGGTCCTGGGGATGTGCACTGTGCTTATTGTCGTCTGTGCACTGATTGGTATCTTGGTGCCTGATCTACCGGACTTTTCTGATCCACTTCTGGTAGGTGTTACATTTTTCTATATTCCTTTTTTTTTTTTTTTGTGGCTAGTTATATTCCCGACAGTCTACCAGAAATCCAATGTACTTTTCCTGTTTGAGCTGACAACATGGGGTCTTTTCGGTGCTAATTTTCGAAGCAGTGTTATCAGCCTCGATTGCTGGACTACAGAACTCTGCTTATCTTTGCCCCTCTCTGCATGCATACATTGATATCTTTGACTCCCAAAAATCTACCCACACATTTGGGTTGATTTACTAAAACTGGTGAGTGCAAAATCTGGTGCAGTTCTGCATAGAAACCAATCAGCTTCCAGGTTTTTTTTTTTGTCAAAGCTTAATTGAACAAGCTGAAGTTAGAAGCCAATTGGCTACCATGCACAGCTGCACCAGATTTTACACTCTCCAGTATTAGTAAATCATGCCCACTGTGTTTAGAAAACTTTTGGGAGATGTACATTGGGTATAGAAAAGAATCACCCCCCTTTAAAATAATCACATTTTGTTGCTTTTGCAGCCTGAAATGAAGACGGACACAATTTTTGTTTTATCCAGCTGTATTTACTCACAACATCCAAGTCAAAGATGTAACACAAACATGTCAGAAAAAAATAATCACTGAATTGGGAAAAGGATCTTTTTGTTGAACCATTTTTGCTTTACTTACATCCTTTAGTCTGTTGGGATATTTCTCTACTAACTTTGCACATCTAGACTTTGCAATATTTGCCCAATCTTTTTTGCAGAACTGCTTAAGTTCAGTTAAATTTGATGGTGACCATTTGTGGACTGCAGTCTACAAGTCATTCCACAGATTTTCAATGGGGTTTAAGTCTGGTGTCTAACTAGGCCATGCAAGGGCATTCACCTTTTTTTTTTTTCCCTCAACCACTGTGTGGTCATTTTTTGCTGTGGGCTTTGGGTCATTGTCATGTTGAAAGGTAAACCTTCTTCCATTGACATCTTTCTGACAGAGGGCCTCAGAATTTGAAGGTATTTTGCCCAATCCATTTTTCCTTTTAATCCTCCAGTCCTTGCTGCAGAAAAACACCCCCATTACAGGATATTCCCACCTCCATGGTTTATTGTAGGAATAGTGTTACTAGGATGGTGAGCTGTATTGGATTTCCACCAGACATATCATTTAGTGTTGAGGCCAAATAATCCAATTTTAGTCTAATCTGATCAGAACACCTTTTTCCATGTGGGCTCAGAATCTTCAAGGTAGGTTTTGGCAAAGCTCAGTCGGGACTGAATGTGGCCTTTCTTGAGGAGTGTTTTTTTTTTTTTTTTTTTTTTTTTTTCTTGCAACCCTCCCATTGAAGCCACATTTGTGGAGAATTTGTGATATTGTCACATGCCCACAATGACCACTTTGTCATAAATTCCTGCAACTGCTTTAGGGTTGCTGTTGACCTCTTGGTAGCCTCTCTGACCAATTTCCTCCTGGCTCTTTCATCCAGTTTGGAGCGACGTCCTGATCCAAGGAGGTTCTGTGTTGTACCAAATACCTTCAACTTCTTAATTAGCCATCATTGTGCTTCTAGACATTGATAAAGCCTTTGAAATTTTTTTGTATCCATCTCCTGACTTGTGCCTGTCTACAACTTTATCTCGGAGATCTTTTAACAGTGCATTGTTGATTGTTTGCATCAGTTGCACTACTGGGACTAAAATACTTCAGGAAAGTTCTTTTCATTCTGAACTAATCAAAATGACCCCAGCTGATCACAGTTGAAAGTCAAATGGCTTTATGTGCTATTGATTAGCTGTACCTAATCGAGTTTAAAAGTCATTTTTAGGAGGGGGTTGATTCTGTTTAATTTTTTTTTTTTTCCTGACATGTTGGTGTTATATTTTTCACCTGGATGTTATAAGTTGCACTGAGTAAATACAGCTGGATAAAAAACGGACGTCATTTCAGGCTGCAAAACAACAAAATGTGATTATTTTAAAGTTGGTGATTCTTTTCTATACCCACTGTTGTTCAGGTGGTGTGCCTACGTTTATAGGAACTGAGCTCCACACAGCTGCCCCTGGAAAAAATGTTACAATTCTGGTGATGTCAGAATAATAAAAAGCAGTTTCTTGCTATTGGAACAAGGAAAAAAAAAAAAAAATACAATGCAGGTGCATGAGCTAAAGGGGAAAAGGATCACCCCATACCCCTTACCAGCGTCCTGATCACTGCCATACCAGCGTCCTGATCACCTGCATTTTTGGTATTTTTCATTTATATAGCAAAAAATAAACTCAGTGGTGATCAAATACCAGCAAAAGAAATCGATTTGTCTCAAAAAATGATAAAAATTCAGTTTGGGTACAGTGTTGTATAACTGAGCAATTGTCACTCAAACTGCGATAGTGCTGAAAGTTGGCCTGACTGGAATGTGAGCTCCTTCATTGGGCCTGATAGGCAGTCCAATATCCAGCTGCCCATAATGTTGAAAAGAAACGCAAGAATTTTTGATCTCAAGAGCTTTAGTTTGAGTAGTATGGCTCAATTGTGTTTGTTAAAGGTAAAAGGCCCATCAAGAGCATTTAATAAGACTGTGAGATGATGAGCAAGTGTCATCCCTGGGCTGGGGGCATATAATACAGCGGGTAGTCTTTCCTAGCCTAGAGCTGTTAGTTGTCATTCACCTGTTATTAGCCAGTGACCTCTGGCCTCTGTGCTCTGACCTCTCTTTGTAGTAGGAGGCTGTGCATTAGCTTGTTTGCAGTGTGTGTTGCGGATATTCCTCCTATCAGAGCAGTGATTAAGGAGATTTCTTTATTTTCTCTTACAGGGCTTTGAGCCCAGAGGGACCGCCATCGGCCAGAGACTGGTGACTTGGAACAACATGGTGGAGAACACTGGATACAAGGCAACATTGGCCAATTATCCCTTCAAATATGCAGATGAGCAAGCCAAAAAGTAGTTAAGTCGTTTTATGTTTTCTTTTTCTATTTGGCCGTGTGATGTCACTTCAAAGCCCCAGTTTGCCTTTCTCAATTTCTTTAACTGTAAAATATTATTTTTATACTAAGGATTTTTTTTTTTTTACGTTATAATTTATTTCAGGTACTTATATAGCGCCATCAATTTATGCAGTGCTGTATATATGTGTGTGTGTGTGTGTGTGTGTGTATATATATATATATTACATTCACATCAGTCCATAACCCTCAAGGGTCGTACAATCTAAGGTCCCTAACCTACATTCATACATACACATATTAGGGCCAATTTAGACAGGATCCAATTAACCTACCAGCATGTCTTTGGAGTGTGGGAGGAAACTGGAGTACCCAGAGGAAACCCACACAGACACAGGGAGAACATGCAAACTCCAGGCAGGTGGTGCTGTGGTTGGGATTTGAACCAATGACCCTAGTACTGCCAGGTGGAAGTACTAACCATTTAGCCACTGTGCTGCCCATATATAATACTTTCACACTACTTTCATGCAGGATTAACAGTTTTTTTCCCTGGATGAATCCAATTAGATGAATCTTGTATGAAAACCTTTATAGATAGACCTTTGCATGCACAGTTTCGCAGCTTGCCGTATGCACTCGGAGTATCTGTGATTGTACCCATTGCCTGCTGACGCTCACCTCTGCCTCGCTTACCTGCCATGCTGTCAGAGCCCTTTGTCAATATCCCTTTCTCCTGTATGTGAAGGCGCATACAACCCCCTCCCAGAGTGAAGTGCTCAGATCTGAGCAGCCAATCTCTAGGTTAAGTTAACCCAATGTAGGCACCTACACCAGTTGAAAAAGTGTGTTACACATAGTTAGGACTCAATGGAGAAGTGGGGAAGTGATGGGAAGGGATATCGGCTATCAGTGGGTGGTAAGTTGTTCTTAGAGGAGAACCTGTCCCTTTGCCCTGAGTGAGTGAAGTGTCAGGCTCTCTTTAAACAAAATAAAGCACCCCCTTTGAAGCTTAGGTTATTTCAGTGTTTGTCTTAGGTTGCTCGTGCTGCTCACCATGACCGCCAGATCAGCTGGGCCGTATTTTTGTTTTTTTTATTTCTGGATAATATTTATAAGTGTGCAGTGTCTTTACAAGTGTTACTTTGCCTCTGGAATGTCTGCCTATTTCTTATTTAAACAGCTGTTTTGTACAATTGCATCTATATTTTTCTACGAGTCTTCAGACTCGGCTTGTGTTGTACTGATCAGCTGTAGTCCTGAGGTTGGAGGTAAGCCCAAAAGAATGAGGTTTCTCTATTTGATTGCCGGGCTTTACAACCAAGAGTCAAGTGGTCTGGTAGTGTCTTTAGACAGAGCCACTGCTCCTTCAAAGTGAGAGGGGTGCCATTGAGGTAGTTTGGGCATGCTTTATGGATGTCCTCTAGAACGGGGTCAGCAACCTATAAATTGCAGCCATGTGACTGGTAGATCACGGTCTGGGGTTGCTGACCTGCTATCCCAGGGTTTCAAACAGAGGGACTACCTGAAAAGTTGGGGTTGTAGTAGGGAGCAAGAGCCACCTAAACTGATGCATCCTCTGTAGTGCCGGCTCCTGTCCCATGAGGAGTGATACCAACTGCACTCCACCTCTTATCCTGGCTAGCAGTCTCCAGAGTGGTGCCAGCAGGAGGAAAGAAGAGATCTTCAGGTCAGTGTGAAGCATAATAGTATAGGGCTGCTTTCACAATGATGCATTGCACCGCAGGTGGAGTGTACCTGCAGCTTTTTCTGTGGACTTGCTACGCTTTGCCATAGACTTCTATTATATCCTCTTAGATTGTAAGCTCCCAGGATCAGGCCCTCCTAACCCTTTTGTATTGCACTGTATTGTTGCTGTATTGTCTCCCGTTATATTGTAAAGCGCTGAGCAAACTGTTGGTGCTACATAAATCCTGTATAATAATAATATCCTGCAAGTTTTCAGGGGAATGCAGGAGTTTTGGTGCACTTTTGGAAAGTGCACCACACTGCAGGATATAGTAGAAGTCTATGGCAAAGCGCAGCTAACCCAGGAAAGTTGTAGATACACGGTGTTGCACCATGTGGTGCAGGTAAACCAAAGCACATCAATGTGAAAGCATTTCATAAAAAACAGTAAGGGGTTCATTTATGTTTGCAGCTTTGTGGGGGGGGGGGTTAAAACCCCATAGTTAAGACATGTTTTTACCACCCCTGCCCCAAACGCACACCCTAAAGTTGCAGTGGCCAGGGCTGTATACATACCGCAGCAGGAGTTATATTCCCTGTTATGATTGGTGGGTATAGCACCCACCAAGCATGACCCATTGAAGTGAATGAGGCCCCTCTGCTGTACTGCACAAGGTTGAGGAGCACTTGCAAACAAGAAGTAAAGAAGGCAGTGTTGTTGCTTTCTCACCACCTGCTTTAACCCCTTGAACTCCGCAGAATCTTGCAGTTGCAGTGTGCTTGCAGAGTGGCCCCATTTACTTAAATGGGTTGTAATTGGCAGGCTGTAGCACCCACCAAAACCAACAAGGGGTTTAATGACTGCTGCTGCATGTGTACAACTTTGGCTGCTGCCTCAGCAGCTAAAGAGGGTAGGGATTGCTGCCGGAAAAACCTCAGTTCAACAGCAGGGTTTTACTACCCCTCCCAACTTTGTGTGAATGAGCCCTAAGGGTGTAGCTGCCGAATGAAACTAAGGGCTCATTCACAAGTGCAGCTGGCACTGCTGCTCCTCTGAACAGTGATCCAAGTGTGTTTGACAGGGGGTGAGGAGTCGATATGTTGCCTCCTCGCCACCTGATTTAAAACCATGATTGCCGTGCAATGCACGTGATTGTGACATGGTAGTACGGCAATTAGAAGTTTAATATAGGTGTGAGGAGGCGACACTGGCCGACACTGTGCCCGGTGATCTTTGACTTCTTTCATGTTGTTCAGGTAGATCTCCACCTCTTTAAGGTTGTCTACCGCTGCTGTAAAAGATTCGAAACCCCCTGGTCTGTGCCAGACATGGCCGGCTAGGAGGGACAGGGCCAGAACAGTGGGTTATGGCAGGATTACTTCAGGAACACCCAGGGGCTGGGAGCTATAGCTGGAATTAATGATGGCCTATAATTCTAAAACTTGCACTACATAGATTTTTACTAGCATAATCATGCTACTAAAATGGCTAGTAATAGCCAGGAGTAAAAATTCACAGCTAAACAGATGGAACTATTGGCTTCCTATGGAGTAAGCTACACAGGTAGTATGCAGAAGCATCTTGTAGTGATCAGCTACTCGTTATTAGAGCATTTTGCACTTTTGTTCCATTGAATGCTACTACTTGCTATTGTAGCTCATTCCATAGGGAACTCTTTGTTTCACCTGTTTATCAACCAATGGCTACTGGGGATAAATATCAACAGCACTTTTAGTAGCGCAATTGAGAAACTAAATCTACTAAACTTAGCACCAGCCAAAAGCTGGACATACACGCCAATTGTTAGTTTTTATAAACCTCAAGGAACCAGCTGTCCTCTTGACAGAGCACAGTGGGGAGATTGCTGTACTGACATTGCATAGTTAGTTTTTTTTGTTTGTTTTTTTTTTCACGTGTATTCCACAATATGGACCATCTTTCCTCTTTTGTTTAAAAAGATTGTCAGTTTCTCTGCCCAGCTTTTCCATCAGAATATCTCTCCCATATTTCGACATCTTTGAGCTGTGTCCAGCTGCTCTGATATCTGATCTAGTTTAAGCTCTTCTTTCTCCTATTAGTCCATTTCTGTTTATCTGCTGTAGAAGACACAAAAATGACTTGATGAATGAAGCCATCAGGTGTCTCTGACATGTAATGTAATTATGGGATTGTGTTGTTATCATAGCCACCAGCTTGACAGATGGTCAGACGATCACTATGAAAGGGAGAAAAGACAAGCAGACTGGGACTTCCACAAAGACAGTTTCTTCTGCGCTGTGCCAAGTGAGTTTTTCATCCTTCCTTTGTTTTCTGTGCAATGAGCTCTGTACCGAAACTGGTTTGTCGTTTGGTGTCTTCATGCCATCATTATCAATGTTTTAATGTTAACATTTCTAAGGCTGTAATAATGGACTGCAGCTTGGTTTAACCACCTCCCGTCCGGCCGTTGTATATATAAACGGCCGGACGGTGGGCAGTGCAGGGTCGTGTGGCCGTTTATAAACGGCGTCCCCGTACCCTGCTTGTGCGCGCGCCCTTAAAAAAAAGTTTAAAAATTATAATTTTTGGTTATAAACTAATTTGGGTTTTTTTTTTTTTTTTTTTTTTTTTTTAATAAAAAGATAAAGGAATGAATTGTGGCCAAGATTTATAATGAAATACTATTTATTTGCAAAATGTTATAAGAAAAACACTTTTTTTTTTTTTTTTTTCAAAATTTTTTAACGTTTTCATTTACATAGCAAAAAAAATAAAACTCCCAGTGGTGAATAAATACCACCAAAATAAAGCTTTATCTGTCTCAAAAAAAAAGCTAAAAAATTCATATGGGCACAGTGTTGTATGACCGCGCAATTGTCATTCAAAGTGTGAAAGCACTAAAAGCTGAAAATTGGCCTGGACAGGAAGGGGGTAAAAGTGTCCGGACAGGAAGTGGTTAATAAGCTAAAAAGGGCCTAGGGTGTTGAAGATGAAAAAGTGTTTTGTGAGTGATACATTTGCTTTCTAGGAAAATATTATTCTCAGAATAATAATAAAGAAAACCAGTGTCCATGCAGTGGGGCTGCATTGGGCTGCTATTTCAGTGCAGTCCCACCACATGAGAAGGCCTCGTCCCCGTTGTGCCCGCTTCACACCACGGGGACAAGGTGGTTTGCGCTGAACAAAAAAAAAAAAAAAATCCTGCATGTAGTACTTTTTTTCCAGCTCAGTGCAGTGCGAGGCAATTCACTATCTTGCACCATGCGGCTGGCAACTAAATTCAATGAAATGTCTCTGACATTTCAATAAAGTTCATTTAAAGATAAAAGGAACAGTGTGATGTGCCGAGATTGACGCATCTGCACTGCTGCAATCCTCCTGGACCGTACCGCATGCCAGCTGCTGAGTTGTAATGCAACATCTGGTGTGAATTAGCCCTAAAACAGGCTGTAATATCCCCTTCCTCTGGCACATACCTTTTCATCGCTCTCATGCCAAGCATGTGACTCGATCACTTTCTGCTCATGTGGGTTGGGAGAGAGCCCACAGTCCTGTATAGACCCCCACTAGAGTGAATTTGAGCATACACAAGGGCATCCTTTCCTGGCTTCTGGCAGCCAAAGGTGCGAAGGAGCAAACTAAAGGTATGTGCTGCTTGGGCAGGGTGTGGGGGTATTAAAGTGAACCTGTTGCGTTCCATGAATGGGTAATACAGGGTTTACAGCTGAAATTTTTGTGTGTTGGTTTGACTTTTCCCTCCAAGTGTGAACCTCTATAAAGCTCTCCGGATTAAAGATCTGGCCACCCTGATGCAAAGTTGCCCCTTCTCACTGAAATCTGTATTGGGTAGAGTTGGAATCAACTCAGACAGTTTTGTCCCACCTAAAAGTACAGTTCAGCTTGCTTCAAGTAAAAGTTACCTTGCTTGAGGCGATTGTAGCCGTATTAGTGCATTTGCGACATAAACAATTGAGTACTGTTCGTGATACTTTTTTTTATTTGCACTAACATACAATCTTGAGGACAAACTTCCGGGAATGTCCCCTTCAGGTCCAAGCAGTACTGCTTGGACCTGAAGAAGGGGACATTCCCCGAAAACTTGTCCTCAAGATTGTATGTTAGTGCAAATAAAAAAAGTATCACGAACAGTACTCAATGAAGTTACCTTGCTGGAACTGTGTTTGGCAAGCTTTGCAAGTGTTTGATGTGGAGAATGTAGAGGGGAATGAGCCCATGGTTAGTTGGGGGTGCCATATAAAATGAATGTCACTACACCACAGTCAATTTTGTGCATTGCCTGAAAATAGATGTAAATCCATCCACAACAGCGCATTTTGTGACTCTGCAGAATTGTCAATGCAACATGGCGTAACTTAGCATGTCCAGTACAATTTTGTAACATTTGTTTTGTTTTTTCTGTTGATAGATGAGCACTATTCCCGAGTGGTCTTCACCTCTGTGAGCGGAGAGAGCTTGTGGAATTTGCAAGCCATCAAGTCCATGTGCAATATAGACCATAACAGGGTGAGTGCAGCAATACAAAATATTTCTGACATTCTTGACATTCTTCTAATAATGATTGGACACTGCTGAACAAACTTGACAACACCCGGGTCACCCTCCACAAACAGCTCCATTATGGGTGTCACAAGGATGTGTAGTGTTTGGACAGGCATTGGTTTTCCTGGGTCATCAGAATCATTGGAAGTTACAACTGGAGGAATTTCCTTTTGTTGGTCCTGCGATGTGCCTCTAGGACATAAACTCAGCTGCTTTTTTAGAAACGTCTGCTGCCCAAGCTTCTCTGTTCCTTTTTAGATTGCTAGGGAATGTCGCATTGCACTGTGAATTTCCAATCACCCTCAGGCAAAACCAGGGATGAAGCGCAGATTAGAATTTTTGATCTGAGCATCGCTTTGAGAAGTTGCTAGCATTTTCCTGCTATTACATGCAGATTTTTTCTGATATGTTGGCAAATACAGTGCCTTGAAAAAGTATTCATACCCCTTGAAGTTTTCCACATTAGGTCATGTTACATCCAAAAACGTAAATGTATTTTATTGGGATTTTATGTGATAGACCAACACAAAGTGGCACATAATTGTGAAGTGGAAGGAAAATGATAAATGGTTTCAAAATTTTTTACAAATAAATATGTGAAAAGTGTGGCAGCATGTGTATTCGGAGTCAATACTTTTTAGAACCACCTTTCACTGCAATTCCAGCTACAAGTTTTGTTGGGGATGTGTCTACCAGCTTTGCACATCTAGAGAGGGACATTTTTGCCCATTTTTTGCAGAATAGCTCAAGTTCTGTCAGATTGTGGCAAGACATGAAAATTGCTGTTCACAGACGCTCTCCATCCAGATTCTCAATTGGATTTAGGTCTGGAGTTTGATTGTGCCATTCTAACACATGAATATGCTTTGATCTAAACCATCCTATTGTAGCTCTGGCTGTATGTTTAGGGTCGTTGTCCTGCTGGAAGGTGAACCTCCGCCCCAGTCTCAAGTCTTTTGCAGTTTCCTTCGAAGATTACCCTGTATTTGGCTTCATCCAAATTCCCATCAACTCTGACCAGCTTCCCTGTCCCTGCTGAAGAAAAGCATCCCCACGACATGATTCTGACACCACCATGTTTCACGGTGGGGATGGTGTGTTCAGGGTGATGCACAGTGTTTTCCGCCACACACAGCATTTTGCTTTTAGGCCAAAAATTTCAATTTTGGGCTCATCTGACCAGAGCACATTCTTCCACATGTTTTGTGGTGTCCCCCACATATGTTCTTACAAACTGCAAACAGGACTTCTTATGGCTTTCTTTTAACAATGGCTTTCTTCTTGCCACTCCAAATTTGTGGAATGCACGACTAATATTTGTCCTGTGGACAGATTCTTCCACCTGAGCTGTGGATCTCTGCAGCTCCTCCAGAGTTCCCATGGGCCTCTTGGCTGCTTCTTTAATTAATGCTCTCCTTGCCCGGCCTGTCAGTTTAGGTGGACGTCCATGTCTTGGTAGGTTTGCAATTGTGCCATACTCATTCCTTTTTCGCATGAACAGTGCTCCGTGAGAGTCAGGAGCAAGTATGTACAAGTGCCCCCAGAGCAAGCAGCATGCTCTGGGGGTACTCGGCACAGGGGATGAGCCAGGAGTGCCAGCAAGGGACCCCAGTAGAAGATTGGGGCTGCTTTATTTAATAACATGTCATACCTGCTCTGTGCAGTGGTTTTGCACAGAGCAGGTAAGTATGGCAGGTTTGTAAAGGTTTTTTTTTTTTTTTTTTTAACAATCACTTCAATTATTAATCAATCTGTATTTATACCTCCGCAAAGTCCCACAAATACCTGTTGACCCTGTCTGTGAAGTCCACCTAATGCAGCCTCCTGTGATGGTGTGGCAATGATGCTGCATTGCTCCTGAATTTACAGCAGAATTGTCACTCTCATTTAGGTTTGAAGTACAGTGGGACAAAAAAGTCGCAGGGGGCATTACTATCTGCATTGTCACAAGTCTGTAGCTTGTCAATTAACACTTGCCTACAGGAAGTACTGCCTTTTGGAATGACAGGACTGCCTTTGTTGCTGAAACACACTGTGGGCTGCAGCGTCTGGAAGGGGGGAGCGTGTGAGACACAAATTAAGCACTTGGCGAAGTCACAGAAGGATTTTTTTTTTTAAATGATTGTTTTCACTATGGGATTTGTGCATCCTGTAGTTGTATTTTAATAAGGTGTATCTAAACCTAAGACCAGATATGTAATCTATTACCCATCATTAGATTGTTTTACTGGCAGAAATGTTTAGTAAAACATGGGCTGAATTTCCAGGTCTTCTAACTTGGGAAAGCTAGACTACCAATGGCCATTTTTCTGCCTCATTTTGCCTACAGTAGCAGCTAACACAGAACAACACAAAACATATAGGAAGCAGGCTTTTAAGAAGAGAATCTTAATTTTCCCATTCGACATTACTAGCCCACACTCCAATAGCTATAATCCATAATGCAAATAACCTGATTTCTTTTGGCACCAGCATGCCTTTAAGTGGAACTATGTGCAAAATAGAGTAAAACAAAGACATACCGTATTTTTCGCTCCATAAGACGCACTTTTTTCCCCCCAAAAAAGGGGGGAAAATGTCAGTGCGTCTTATGGAGCGAATATAGAGCGGCCGGTCCGGTATTTTCACCGCCGCCGTGTCAGAATACCGGGCCGGCCGCTCAGCTCTGCAGTGGGACCTTACCTGTTCCTCTATCCAGCGGCGCGCTGTCTTCCCGGCTTCTGTAGTGTGCGTGACAGCCGGGTCCCAAGTGCGCATGCACAGGAAGCGGTGCTCTTCGTGAATGGTAAGGCGGTACCTGGGACACATGACAGATCCCAGAAGCCGCCGGACCAATCACAAAGCGCAGCGCTTCTCGCGCATGCGCACTGGGCATCCGGCTGTCCGCCGAGCGCCCACACTACAGAAGCCGGGTAGACAGCGCGCGGCTGGATAAAGGAACAGGTAAGATCAAAGAAAAACTCTGCGGAAGTAAGAGCGGGTACCTGTCAAATTCAGGTACCCGCTCCCCCTCCCTCCCCAAAGGTCAGCAGTCATCACCTGTACTGTCCGCAGTCACTGGTCATCTCCTGTACTGTGTCCGCAGTCTCTGGTCATCTCATGTACTGTGTCCGCAGTCACTGGTCATCTCCTGTACTGTGTCCGCAGTCACTGGTCATCTCCTGTACTGTGTCCGCAGTCACTGGTCATCTCCTGTACTGTGTCCGCAGTCTCTGGTCATCTCCTCTACTATGTCTGCAGTCCATTAGTTCAGAATTTTTTTTTTCCTGTTTTCTGCCTCTAAAACCTAGGTGCGTCTTATGGTCAGGTGCGTCTTATGGAGCGAAAAATACAGTATATGATGCAGTCTGTTACCAGCATTAACTCAATAGCTTTTGTTTTTCCCCCATTACACTTTTTAAGAAGTTATAGCAATAATTTTTTCTTTTGATTTAAACCCAATTAATAAAAGCTGGCCATTATAAGCTCTGCTGTCTGTATTATATTTGTCGAAACTTCCTGTTTTGTGGAACAGCTTGGCCTGTGACAGGAAGCATAAAGAGAATAGATTTTCTGGCAGGACCAACGGGTAATAAAACTATATTACAGAGGCCCAGAAAACAAAAGCCTATTTGATTAATGGATCATTTATGTCATTTTTAATTTTGTACATAGCACCACTTTAACTTATAGCTCATGATAGTAGATAAAGTGGTTTGCTGGCCTTTAATTCTTTTCTTTTGTTTCCCCCTCATTAATATTACATTCTTAGACATGATCGTTCAGGATTTCCTGCCCGTGTTCTGTGGTTATTACACTTTGCAGGGTTTGATGTCAGCGTGAGGAAATACTCTCTCTCCTTTTATATCCAGGGTAATTGTGGCCGGCCAACTAATGAATTTCATATGGCAGGAGTTTTCTCATCCTACGGTTTAATCACTGTAGGGCACGAAGACAATTAAACATGAAATACAAACTGTTGGAGCCCTTTGGTTACGGTTCACGCCGAGCAGTAAAAACAGCCTCATTAAAGCTGTAAAAATGGAGCTGTAATCTGTTTATGGAAGACTTAATGATTTGGGTAAGCAAAACGTTAGCCCCAGTACGCGCAGGCATTTAAATCCTCTCAGTGCTGCCAGCAGGAGATGTATTGGGCTGTACGCAAAATGAATTGCGGAAGGAAAAGATTGTAGAGATTAAGATTCTAGCAACTATACTACGCTATAAGTATTTATGTTTAATCTGTCTCTATATTACATTGCAACCAGGGAGCACACATTCTGACTTCGTATAACATTATATGAAAGAAGATTTTATGTTACTACATTTGCTTTTTGCCATGTTTGTTCCAACTTTTGATTCTACTATTTCATGTACAGGTTTGGGAATACTCTGTGCCAATTTGGAATGTAATTAGCATCCTTGTTTAAAGTGTGTGCTCAGCAAAATATTTAATAAAAAAACACATTTAGTACTTGTCTGCAATACATGCACATCTTCCCATTTTTTTGGGGGTGGTAACAAATGTTTTCATTCTGGCAGAAATGTAGTGAGCTACTAACTTCCTGTTAGAACTAATAGCATGGCCTCTACTGCTCTGAAATACTGAACATTGCCCAGTTCTCTTCTCCTAGACTACAACCCCAACTTTCCTGGAGACCATGGTTTAATTATTTGGGAATATTTTCATTTTCTTTTTTTTAGGAATATTTTTTGACACGTCCTGTCTTTGAAACGTAAAGGGAAGTTAGAAAACTTTCTCACAATGAGCAAACATACACTCTTAGAGAGATGCCACTGAAACAATTGCCTCCGTTGGACAATTTTTACTCATCTTCTGTTCTAGTGACAACACAAACATTTGAAGTTCCACTTTTCATGTTTCCATTTCACTTTAAATAAAGTTGTTAAATTGCCAAGTCTGCTTTTTGCTATAAATACTGTAGTTTTTGAAAGGCTCTGGTTATATTTACACTCATTTCTGTTTTACAGATACGGTCCCACCCTCAGTTTGCAGACCTCTGCCAGCGAACCACTGCAGATTCATGTTGCCCAAGCTGGACTTTAGGAAATTATATTGCCATCCTTAACAACAGGTCTTCATGCCAGAAGATCATAGAACGCGATGTATCTCACACACTAAAGCTTATCCGTACCTGTGCCAAGTTCTATCACAATGGGACCTTGGGACCGGATTGTTGGGATATGGTGGCCAAAAGGAAGGACCAGCTGAAGTGTACAAATGTGCCTCGCAAATGTACCAAGTACAATGCTGTCTACCAAATCCTTCACTACCTGGTAGATAAAGACTTCTTCAACCCAAAGAATGTGGATGTCAGCTCTCTAGTTTTACGGCACAGCATGCTTTTCTCACCAACCGAGAAAGGCGACTCCATGATGAACATTTATTTGGACAATTTTGAGAACTGGAATTGTTCTGATGGCGTGACAACCATCACCGGGATCGAGTTTGGTATCAAACATAGCCTGTTTCAAGACTATCTCTTAATGGATACTGTGTATCCGGCCATTGCTATTGTCATTGTCCTTTTGGTCATGTGTGTCTACACGAGATCAATGTTCATTACGCTGATGACCATGTTTGCCATAATAAGTTCGCTGATTGTATCGTATTTTCTGTATCGCGTAGTATTTAACTTTGAGTTCTTTCCCTTCATGAACCTCACTGCACTGATTATTCTGGTTGGAATCGGAGCAGATGACGCTTTTGTCTTGTGCGATGTCTGGAATTACACAAAGTTCGACAAACCCCATGCAGAGACTTCAGAGACCGTCAGCATCACACTACAACATGCTGCTCTTTCAATGTTCGTCACCAGCTTCACCACCGCTGCTGCCTTCTACGCCAACTATGTCAGTAACATTACTGCCATCCGGTGTTTTGGGGTCTACGCTGGTACTGCTATACTGGTGAATTATCTTCTCATGGTCACATGGCTGCCTGCCGTAGTAGTCCTCCATGAACGCTATCTACTAAACATCTTCACTTGCTTCCAAGGTTCTCAACAGCGGCCTTACAACAAGAAAAGCTGTTGGAGCATAACTTGCCAGAAATTAAAGAAGCTGCTTTTTGCCATTTCGGAGGCATCGAGGATATTCTTTGAGAAAGTGTTGCCATGTATTGTTATCAAGTTCAGGTTTATTTGGGTTTTCTGTTTCCTCACGTTGACCGTTGGTGGGGCCTATATTGTGTGTGTTAATCCAAAGATGAAACTCCCATCATTAGAACTATCAGAATTCCAGGTGTTCCGGTCTTCCCATCCCTTTGAGCGTTATGATGCAGAGTACAAAAAGCTTTTCATGTTCGAGAGAGTTCACCATGGTGAAGAGCTCCACATGCCCATCACAATTGTTTGGGGAATCTCAGCAGAAGACAATGGAGATCCCCTCAATCCAAAGAGCAAGGGCAAGCTCAAACTGGACAGTAGCTTTAATATTGCCAGCCCTTCCTCACAAAGATGGCTTTTGAACTTTTGCCAAAAGTTGAAAAACCAAACCTTCTTCTACCAAACTGATGAACAGGACTTTACTAGTTGCTTCATAGAGACCTTTAAACAGTGGATGGAAAACCAGGACTGTGATGAACCTGCTCTTTATCCATGCTGTAGCCAGTCAGGTTTTCCTTATAAACAGGAAGTCTTTGAGCTCTGCATTAAACGTGCCATTATGGAGCTCGAAAGAAGCACTGGTTACCATTTGGACAGCAAGACTCCAGGACCAAGGTTTGATATCAATGACACAATCAGGGCTGTTGTCTTGGAATTCAAAAGTACTTATCTTTTCACTTTTGCCTATGAGAAAATGCACCATTTCTACAGGGAAGTAGATGCTTGGATCTCAGAAGAACTTAAAACTGCTCCAGGCGGTCTCAGCAATGGCTGGTTTGTTAGCAGCCTCGAGTTTTATGACTTGCAGGACAGTCTTTCCGATGGGACATTAATCGCTATGGGATTGTCTGTTGCTGTAGCCTTTAGTGTCATGCTTCTCACAACCTGGAACATAATCATCAGTTTCTATGCGATCATTTCCATAGCTGGCACGATATTTGTCACTGTCGGGTCTCTTGTCTTATTGGGATGGGAGCTAAATGTTTTGGAGTCCGTTACAATATCTGTTGCTGTGGGTCTCTCTGTAGATTTTGCCGTACATTATGGCGTTGCCTATCGTCTTGCTCCAGATCCAGATAGAGAAGGGAAAGTGGTCTTCTCTCTAAGTCGTATGGGATCTGCTATAGCCATGGCTGCCCTGACTACCTTTGTTGCAGGAGCAATGATGATGCCTTCAACCGTTCTAGCTTACACTCAACTGGGCACCTTCATGATGTTAATTATGTGCATTAGCTGGGCTTTTGCAACTTTCTTTTTTCAATGCATGTGCCGTTGTCTTGGCCCGCAGGGAACCTGCGGCCAAATACCTATGCCAAAAAAGTTACAATTTAAAGCCTTTTCTGAAGCCTTATCTTCCAACAGTTCAGAAAGAGGACAAAACAAAATGAATCATGTGAACAAATACCAGTTAGACACTAGAGGTGCAAAAGCTGAAGTAGAACATGAACATTATGAACTGGAGCCTTTAGCTTCACATAACTCTAGTACATCTTGACAAATGGATTTTTCAAATCATTTCTCCTGTTATGGTGAGAGATTGGCTGCACAGAAAACTGACGTGTCTTCACTGCCCTGTGTAAATTCACTAACTTATTTTTATTATTGTTATTATTATTATTATTGTTATTTTAACATTCTCAACAGCTATGTACATAAAGACAGGGACCAACAAAGCGGTTATTTTTAAGTTGGCCATATGTATACCGGTATAATCAGCCAAAAATAGACAGCATCTCTGAATGCATGAGGTGTAAACAGTTGGGTTCTTATTGGGAGTTATTCCGCAGTCCACAGATTTCCAAGTCCAACTATTGCCCCTCCATGTCTTCATAACCTGTCATTACCTTGCAGACCTGTGGGCTGTCCTGTAAATAAGATCGGATGGATGTGTGGGTCCAATACTGATACCAAGCTCAGATTTTACCATTAACTCCAGGCAGATATAAAAGGCACAGATTTATTCAGCTCTGTATTCATCATTACATCATGACTTTTTTTTTTTTCAGTGCAATGTCAGAATTTGACCTGGTATCGTACTCCCTATGCAGCAGAGCTCAGTTTAGGAGAAGAAGCAGCTTGAGGAACCAATCAGTTGTACTACAGTACACATGTGCTAATAAGGAATATAATGATAGGAGGAAAAAATAGAGTTCTAAAGAAATAAGCTCCTCAATCTGCTGCTTCTCTTTTCTGTCACAGGGTGAGGAGGGAAGGTGACCTTATAAATGTTAAGCCAGCCATACATGGATTTGGCTAGTTTGGCAGGGACCAGCTAAGGTTCGATCCTTGTATGGGCAGGCTGATTGTACCCAAGCCGATCCATCGATCGACTTGGGTACAACCAGCCTGTCAGATTTTTTTACATTCGATTTTCTGCTGGTGGCTATAACCGCTAGCCATAATCATTATGTTCTGCTAGCCAGGAAAACCCAACACTGCCCTGCCAGCACAACACAATAGTACTGCAGAAGGCATTCCCCCATCAACAGTTAGTGTTAGGGAATCAAGCAATTTTCTTTCCTTCTATGTGAAGTGGAAGGAGAGAGAGTCCAGCAATCTTTGGGCTGCTTTAGTAAAGTGCACAAAGATAAAAATCAGATTTCCTGCCTTGCCACCCAGGGCTGTGCTGTGTGGCAGAGCTGTGCAAATTTCGGATGTGTATAACCAAAATACAGATAGAAAGCTCCAGTATATGTATTTTATCTATGTATTTACCTGTTTGCCTCGAGTACAACTTTTAGGCAAATTAATGTGCAACTGCATCTTCAATCCCAGTTGTTTCGGTATCAGAGAGGGTTATCTGACAGCCTTGAGCCTGGGTTCACATTGAACTGATGCGGGTGTGTATATTAAGTTAACACTCCAAAATCGGTTCGCAAAACGCAGTGCGATGTGCAGAATCGGATTGCATAGGTGTGAATACGCATGCAATCCAATTCTAAAGTGGACCAAAAAAAGGGTCCTGCACCTTTTACATTTTTACAAAATGTATGGCTCAAATCGCATGTGATTTGCACAGGCATGCAGTGAGGTTCCTGTGCGAATCACATGCGATGTACCACACAGCATATATGTAATCCCAGGCTGAAAGTTGGAAGCACCCAATACACTCACCATTTATTGGGCATAATCTAACGTAATCTTTATCTATAGATGTGATGGTTTCTGATATGCCCCAAGTTTCCCAAAAGCCTGCCAAAGAATTTGAACCTATATTTTTTAAGTTTGTTTCAGAATGTGGCTCCTCATAAGTCCTTCAAGGCCTGATGCTGACTTTAAGCCTAAAGTAAATATCTCCTTTAAATTCCAACCATTTTTTGCATATTTTACAGGGTGCCATTTTGTGAGAACTATCAGAACTGACAATTTATGAATGTAAAGTTAAGATGACCAATACTAGGCAAACAGAACTTGTCTGTTGACTTCTGTTTGTCATGTCTATTCTCTATACTGGTTCACCTTACAAAATGAAAGCCCTCAATGAGTTTTTGTAAGAGATTCCCCTTAAGGTTTACTCACCACTAGAGTTTTATTCAGAGAATCCTCCGGTGAACACAATAGGCCTTCTTTATGAAAGAACCTGGTGCATTGCTAGAAAATGAAAAGAGACATCTGGTCACTACAGCAAACACAGATCATTCTGTAGTCACAAAAAAGACTTCCTATTTGCGTTCAACATACCAAATTAATTCTTACTTCCCCTTCGTTAATGCAAAAAAAATGGAAGTGAATTTGGCTGTAATGGGTAACTGTCTGAAAGAAGAACACCTTGTAACCCATCCAGGGGGTGGAGATATTTAAAGGATCAACTTTTTAAACAAAAAAAAAAAGATAGTTTAACTAAATCTAGCTTGTCATTTCTTATATGAGTTGCGACCTAGCTCCTCAACCATGGCAATCATAAAACTAAATGAGTATCATACATGTTTTCCTTCAGAGTGGGACACCCTATGTATTAGTCTTTGTGGTGGGGTGGAAAGGACAACTAGAAAGAGTTCTGCTTGTTACTCTTGTCCTTAAACCATGTACATTCCGGTGGGTGAGTCAGCCCATCCACTCCTGGAATATTGGTTGTGGGTGGGCTTACCCTAGTGTATGTCTGAAAAAAATCAGAAAAAAACCTATGCAGAACATCTCTGCAATACATGCACGTCTGCCCATGATTTATCCCTTCAAAACCATGAATCCAAAAAAAAATCCTGTTGATCTGCCACAATTCCAGTAAGCTCGTTTTTTTCTTGTTTAAGCTGATAGCGCTGCCTATGCTGCACTGACATCCCAACCAGCGCTGTCAGCCCCGCACCATTCTTTACTGATGAATTACAGAACACCACCTCTTCTCTATTGTAGAAGTTTTATACTCCGGCAGCAAATAATTTAGGCAGGGCTGACTAATACTGCTTAGGGTTTCAGTGCATTTGAGGCATATTTGTCAGTTCCCTACAGGAAGTTAGGAGCTCTGTGGATTTCTAAAAATATAAACAGGTGTTTTTCTGTACTTGCAATGTTTAACCATTCCCCGCCTGGCCTATTGTCAAATGGCAGCTGAGAGGGAGCTCCCTGGCTCTGGGAAGTTGTGCTGTGGCCCGCTGTGTGTGTTCGGGACACAGCGGATGACTGAATGGTGTACTGGGGCTGGTACCATGTGAATGCTGTGACTAATTCCAGTGCTCACGTGACATTTGTACCCAGTGAATGGCTCATTGTGTAATGTTGTGATGATCTTTGTGATTGGTCACAGTGATCATGTGGTGCAGACAGGGCCAATCACAGCTCACCTGTACCATGTGATATCTGTGGCTAATCGCAGTAGTACTCAATGAATGGATGCCATTCATAAAAATTGCTTATAGCAGTCACCATCAAAAATCCTGATCACCTCCCCAGAGTAGTTCAGTGTTGCTAAGGTAACATGCATTGCTTTGGTCACAGTATGTAGTAAAAAAAAAAGGAAAAGATATATTGTTTTAACATACTGTCAACAGTCAGTATCCCTGATCACTAGTTATATAACGATGCTGTACTGCACTGGTGACCAGTATGTTAAAAAAAAAAATTGTGGAAAAAAATTTTTTATTTTTTTTTTCATTTTCCAAAAGATTGTGACAAAAAATACAGCTTCAGAAAACTTGCCATGCCTCTTACTAAATTCCTTGGACTATCAACTTTCCAAAAAGGGGCCATTTTGGTGGGGGGGGTTATTTTTGTTTTATGCTGACATTTTTATTGTTTCAAGAAACAAAGCCCTAAAGCATAACAGTGCTGAATGCTGAAAAGTGTCCAGTATTAAGGCTTGTTCACACTTGACTTTATTTTGAACTCTTGCCAAACGACCCTATAGTGTTTGACAGGCGTTTGGGAAGTGTTTTTTTAACGCTCCTCAAACCCCCCCAAACTCCCTATGTGCGGTTTTGAGCCGGTTGATAGGCATTTGCCAAGCGTTAAAACCGCACCACAAATGCCTATAATGAAGTTAAATGGTATTAACGCCTGCCAGGCATTTGTGGAGCGGCACCATAGACTTGAATGGGAGGCTTCAACTCCTCCTGACTCGACCCGAGGCGTCAGTTTTGCCACGACTCTAACGCTTCAGTGTGAACAGCACCATGTGCTGCCATGTGCAGAATTTTCATAGGCGTTTGAGAAGTGTTAAAAACGCTTCCCTGATGCCTGCTGAGAAAGCTAGTGTGAACTGAGCCTTAAGGTGGTTAAAGGGACAGACAAAATAAGGGAACATGTGCATGTATTGGAGAGAGGTACTGATTTTTTTTTTTTTTTTTTTTTTTTTTTTTTTTTTGCTCAGACATACTTTTAAGACTTCATTGTTCACCCACTTGCTGGACCTCACAGTAGTTAAATTTTGACCCTGCATCCCACAGAGAAGTGTGTACTATAAAGTACAGGGAGCACTGTGCTGCAAACCTTTGGGCCTGGGTAAGCTATACATACTGGTGCACCAAGATTTGTAAATGGGGAGCACAGGAATGTGCAGACAAGGCCCAGCCTTTTGTAAGGATATAATAGACTAATCACGTTTTAAGCTATAAGCTAATTACCCGCTCCTGCATAGAGAATGAAGGAAAATCTGAGTGCTGGGAAACATCTAGTTCTTCCTTCAAACAGTTCCATGACTATTGTTTAATATTTTCATGTTACTGATCTTCAGGATCTGTACACACCAAGTCATACACGTTATGTTCCATATAACGAGGACGCGCTAGTGTGCATTGTGTAGGGGTGGTACGATGTGTTCTCCCAACGCTTTTTTTTTTTGCAATGCACATGTGCAGTAGGAACAGGGAACATGGAGAACAATTATTTAGTGTCCTTGCGTTGAGCCTGCGTTGATCAATGTGGATTAACACGGCTCAATGGATGTAGTGTGAAGAAGCCTTTATTCAGAGGCTTAGTGTAACATAAAACAGAAGGTCTTGATCCGTGAGCATCTGTGAAAAAGGGATGGGCATGGTGGCTCTTGGCAATTTCCAGTAGGGA